TATATATATATATATATATATATATATATATATATATATATATATATATAACGAGAAAAAATGTTTTACAGAAATCTTTACTTTCGGTAAAGCGTTCTGTCAACTCTGTGGGGCGTATTGTCTAATTTTACCCTCTCCTATGTGTTTCTCTATTACTCCATAATTATATTACTCCATAATTTATATTAAACTTTGTTATATTTCTTTGAATCATAATTATAATATGTTGTACTTACACACGCGCGCTCACGCCTGTAGAAATAAAAGGTCTGTTTTTTTAATTTACGCATTACGGCTCTATTTTAACCCTGTATCGAGTTGTATTTAATATTGTACTAAAAATAGACTTCACATATATTAAATTCTGGAAATATACTCGGAAAACTCCTGCCCAAATTGCAATGCTGTACATATGTATGTTACTACTGTTATATATGCATATTTATTCAAATTCTGCAAAATTATTGGGTGGAGATAAATTATAAAACTGTACATTTTCGGAACATGTGGATATAATCGTTGTAAGTAATATAAAGTACTATATAATAAACTTTTATATAAAATATTTTCACCTCATAGTTTCTAACATATTCTCTAAAAATGGAAAGAGTCCGTTATTTACGAATAGTTGTTTAAATTTCCTTAAAAGCCTTAATAAATCTTAATAAAACTTTATATTATCGTCGAAATCGCGCGATTCAACTGAAAAACTTTCATCTAACTCTGAACTCAAATCTGAGTGTTTCACTTGAGAGGAATTTCAAGTAACGACTATTAATATGGGCCTAAGAACATGCACCAATCAGATTCATAAATTTTACAACAGTTGCAAAGCAGCTTTCTCTGCTGAACGCAATGATTACTATTTATTTACTCAATGATACTTATATAACATTTTTACATAACATTACACGCATATTATCTTGTTATTATAGGAAAAGCACAACATTAAGAGGCCTGCTGCAGGCACTTTTGGGACCTGCGGTGGTTGGTGAATGGTGTTGCAGATAGATTCCGTGTGGGGCTGGGCGTCACCCCCGCTGCGCCTCCAGCTAGCCGGGGTGACCAGGGGTGCCTCGGGGAGAGCGGCTGCGGGTGCCCCATCCTCGCAGAGGATGGGTGAGATAGTCGTAGAACGCGCTCCTTCCCCAGCACGCCTCAGTCATACCTCTGAAAAGCATCCACGTGCGACGCTCACCGAGCTCAATGGTCTTCGCCGTCATCGAGAATTATGCGACGTTGTTCTCAATGTTGGCACCAGAAAGATATTTGCGCATCGTGTCATCCTCTCAGCATGTAGTCCATATTTCAGGCAAGGAGATATCAGCAATTAATATTTATACAGTCAAATAAAACACGCAATAGTGACATCTTCCTTAATCATTAACTGCATGTAGCAAAAGAAGCTGCTTTGCAACTGTTGTAAAATTCGTTAATCTGATTGATGTACGCTCTTAATTTTCATTATATACTAATTAGATTTACGAAATTTACAACAGTTGCAAAGTAACTCTCTCTGCTGAACGCGGTCATTGACTTTGGAAAGTCCTGGATTTTCTTGCGATCAGCAGCATGTGTTCAGAGTTTTAGTCGTAAAGATTTCTTTTGGTATCATAGAATGCAGGCATGAAGTTTAACTGCTAGTTGCAAGAAAAAGTTGCAGGTTTTTCTACAATATCAATAACTATATAAGATGTATATCAATAATTGTGTTTTATCCTATTAATATTAATAGAGATAATGATATGTGTGATCTTATTTCTGCTTTATTTCACTCCAAGAGAAAGAGAGAGAGAGAGACTGCTCTAAATATTAAAATAATCAGAAGAACTTTTTTTATTTCAGAGCAATGTTTACTGGGGAGCTGGCGGAATCTAGACAAACTGAAGTAACAATACGCGACATAGACGAGATGGCTATGGAACTGCTCATAGACTTCTGTTATACTTCTCATATTATCGTCGAAGAAGCGAATGTTCAAACTCTCCTTCCAGCAGCGTGCCTTCTTCAATTAGCGGAAATTCAGGATATATGTTGCGAATTTCTCAAACGCCAGTTAGATCCATCGAACTGCCTTGGTATCCGGGCATTCGCGGATACCCACTCGTGCCGTGAACTTTTGCGTATTGCCGACAAGTTCACTCAACATAACTTCCAAGAGGTGAGCCTGAATCAGAACAGATCTTATAATTTATACGTAGCATTTTGAAAAACACACACGGACACGTTTCAATTATACAAAAGATCTCACTTTATACTCGTTTAATAGGTAATGGAAAGCGAGGAATTTTTATTATTGCCTGTCGGCCAGTTGGTAGATATCATTTCGTCAGACGAATTAAATGTGCGCACGGAGGAGCAAGTGTTCAGCGCCGTGATGAATTGGGTCAAATACAACGTTACCGAGAGACGACAGCATCTGTCTCAAGTTCTGCAGCATGTGAGACTGCCGTTACTCAGCCCGAAATTCTTAGTTGGCACTGTCGGCTCCGATCTGCTGGTCCGATCCGACGACGCCTGTAGAGACTTGGTGGACGAAGCGAAAAATTACTTACTTTTGCCGCAAGAAAGACCGCTGATGCAGGGACCCAGAACAAGACCCAGGAAACCTACGAGACGAGGGGAAGTGTTATTCGCCGTTGGTGGATGGTGTTCGGGCGATGCCATCGCCAGCGTCGAGCGATTCGATCCTAATACTGCCGATTGGAAGATGGTGGCGCCAATGAGTAAACGGAGATGCGGGGTAGGTGTAGCGGTATTGAACGACCTGTTGTATGCGGTCGGTGGTCATGATGGTCAGAGCTACTTGAACAGCATCGAGCGATACGACCCGCAAACGAATCAATGGTCTTGCGACGTTGCTCCAACTACTTCTTGTAGAACCAGCGTCGGCGTCGCGGTATTAGACGGATTTTTATACGCGGTTGGCGGCCAGGATGGAGTACAATGTCTTAATCATGTGGAAAGGCAAGTATTTGGATCCTTAATTGGTTAGAACAGAAAAGATAGATTTAATGCGTACGTTTGTCTAAAAAGAAAAATATTTGGTGCATACGCCATGACTTGTATAAATAATTAAATCCTTCGGTGTAATCATTAAAGATTTGACAGTCAAATAACCGCGATAGGCTCTTTTCCACTTTTCTTAGAATTAATTCGTAAATCGAATGGTTTCCATCATTTAGACTTTCATTAGTTTCTTGCTCTGTTCTTATCATAATTTTACGCCACATAAAGCAATTCTTTACTTCGCAGGTATGACCCTAAAGAAAACAAATGGTTTAAAGTGTCGCCAATGACCACTAGAAGATTGGGAGTAGCCGTTGCTGTGCTCGGAGGTTATTTATATGCCATCGGCGGGTCTGATGGGCAGTCACCCCTCAACACAGTGGAAAGATACGATCCAAGGCAAAACAAATGGACCCAAGTACCCCCGATGTCTACGAGACGTAAACATCTAGGCTGTGCTGTATTTAATAATCTAATTTATGCAGTAGGAGGACGAGATGATTGTATGGAGCTCTCCAGTGCGGAACGTTATAATCCTCATACGAATTCCTGGAGTCCTATAGTAGCGATGACATCTAGGAGAAGCGGGGTAGGCTCCATGTGTTTTTATCGAGACTATCGTCATTTTCGAAAAACAAAGAAAAAAAACAAAAAAGATCAGGCGCTCTTTCAGGAGAATATAGTTCGAAGATCTTAGAATCTTTCGGTATTTTTCAATTTGTAATTACTGTCGTGACTCTTTCAGGTGGGTCTAGCGGTAGTAAACGGTCAATTGTACGCGGTAGGCGGATTCGACGGTACTGCGTATCTGAAAACAATCGAAGTATATGATCCGGAACAGAATCAATGGAAGCTGTGCGGTTGTATGAACTACAGGAGGCTCGGCGGAGGCGTGGGAGTGATGCGAGCTCCACAAACTGAGAACTACATTTGGTAGCTCAGGCCCCCCTCTTCAGCCCAAACGGCTGAAACTCCTCTAACTCCTCTCACACCGGTAACGCCAGTTACACCTGTAACCCCTCCCGCCCCCGTATCGGTTCCTGTTGTTATAACTAATACTAGAAAACGCTACCGTCGATCGATGAGTATTATATAAGTAATGTGTATGCATTTTATACAAGACTTTGCCTTTCCAAAATTCCGCGAGAGCCGAGTCCCGCGTTTGACATATCTTACGTTGTTTTTTTCTTTGTTAATTTATCATCGACTCCGAGATAACTTCTTCGCTTGATCAAAGCGCATATGGATTCCGCGTGCGGTGAAGGAAAGATGCGATAACTCGCTCGAGTTACTGTACCATTATTTTATTTTCACTTCAGACTTCGTCGTTATTTCATAGGAATCTCTTTGTGAACGCTATATTTGTGTATTTTATTTTACGCGATACGAATTCCAATCGCTTTAGTATTAAGTGCTCATAGAAACTTATGAAAAAAGGACTGCTTTGCGTTTCGCACGCACAGAGTTTCAGAACGTTTTCTCAGGCAAGAAGAAAGAAAGGCAAATTCTCTTCGCTCGAACACTCGCCAGAAGCATTGTGTCTGAAGAGCATTTACAGCTTCCACTCTCCTTCAGTGAATGAAATCGAAATAAAAGTTTAAGCTTTCAGTTGGTAGTCTCAATTTAATCAAGCGGAAGGTTGCTTTTGCACCTAATATAATGCAAGAATGTAATATAAGACACTGATTTCTCGCAAGAGTAGACTGCTTTTCTTAAGTATGTGGATACTATGTTCTGTTTATAAGACTGAGTGTTAACCAGAAAACATTGAAATACTAAATCGTGATAAACAGTTACAGTCTATATTCTCTCGCAAATATATCAAGTCAGCGATACATGCACGCATACACACTTGAAATGTGAGACCTTATAAATAATTCGTATTATTTTATTCATTTGACGCATTTATTATGTTATCAACGATTTACACCAGGTGCCAAGATGCACCTACTCGAGAAGCAATATATATAATAATACTTGAGATTATAAATTATTTAAACGCGATGTGTGTGTCATCTCGTTCTTTCGTATTGCTGGAAAGATACGCCATTTAACCGACATCCGTTATACATGTTTAAGTCAACAGAGGAGTAGCCTTATCGTACAAAATGGTGATAGGGATCATTGATAACAACAATCTCATAATGTAACATGTTTTTTTTTATTATGCGACAAAGACCAATGAAATTGGCTAAGCACGACCAACGCGTTTTGCTATAACAATAACGGAATTCACTCGATTTATTTTGGCGAAAATTAGATGACAATTGCACGTAAAAATGATTCGGATGATTTTAATGAAAGCGTGGAGAAGCATTTACGGATCGTCGTTGTTACAGGTATGAGATTGTTGAAGACAGCAAAATGCATGTCTAGTGTAAGAACATATTGACGATGTAATGTAATTCTTTCTAAGCAACTGGCCACACAAAGATGATTATTCCGATTTCTCTCGAGTTCTACGACGGCTTATTGACGCATTTCTCTTCATGCGCGGGACTATTGCGAATAGTCCGTTATCGTGATTAAATTATGAAACTCGTGATACTGTAGAGGCAAAGAAAATGTGAATTGTGCTATTCAGTTAATCAAATTAAATGTTACGAGGGTACAAATTATTGTAATCCACGAACAAAGTTCGTGTTCGAACTTATATGAAGTTTAAATAAGTGTTCAGTACCCAATCCCCAGTCTGATTTTCAAGAAAACAGGAGTTAGAGATTTAAAGAGTGCAACATTATTTCTGCGGAGTATATTCGGCACGCATAGCGCTAGCTGAATTATAATTTTAAAATCTGCGTCAAGACTCGTACAATAGGCATTATATCGAACATTGACGACACGTTTCCCGTAAATGAGGCACGAAAAACATCAAATTTTATTACGTTATTAATTAGCGCGCGTAGAATAATCTCAGAAACGCAAGCGTTATACAGGCGTATTGTTTTTTGTCTTCCTAATCGAGATCAAAAGATTATCCTGTACAACTGTTCAGTACAAAGGAAGAGTCATAGGATTTCTTTCCTGTTTTTTGTCAATAAATTAAAGAAAGTGCGCATTAGAAATTTGCGCGAACTATTATGCATAGCGTTCTTATATACTACATTAACAGGATGACCCAAGAGTTATCATGTTTCCTGATAAAAACTGATAATGACAAATTCCTCGGCGAATGTATGAAAAGTGATTCTTTTCTTTCATTTCATATTAGTTTTATCTCTCTTCTAAATATGTACAAAGGTATTATTGGATTAATTAATCAATACAAGTCACAATTTTGAAAAATTAATTTTTAAAGCTTTATGATAATTTGTTTTTTGTATAACACAACATAAAAGTATATATGATAATTTACTATATTTGCTAAGATTTAAAGTTGTTTTTACAAATTAGAGATTACTTTTTGAGAAAAGTGCTCACCGTTTGCAAACAAAAGTATAATATAATTTAGTAAGATATATAACAAAAAAGAGGATTTTTTTGTTATATATTTCTCAAGATATTTATATTTTTATTTCCAGAAATAATTTTAAAGAGAAATGAATGCAATATTCTAAAACGAGTGTATCTAAAAATCATGAATACAATTCACTTATGCCCAATTTCTTCACCTCCGGTTAACTTTATCTGTCAGTTATTCTATTGGAATTGACCAATCATATTTATGGTTGGCAAGATTAACCAATCATGGTTGACATTTATCCGACAGGTAAAGTTAACCGGAGGTGAAAAAATTGTGCATTAGACGCAGTTTTGATTTTGCGATTAGGATATGTGTGTGTGTTGTGATGAATAAATAGTTACAAGATAAATTTTTCTTAACATTTACAAGGGATAAACTGATTTTTGCGGCGTCCGATGGAGAATTCCTAGGGAATTCTGTGGCATCTTTTCAAAAATTCTGTAAATTCCCTATTCGTTAGCCAATTGCCAAGTTCCACACATGCTGTCATGCGGCACAGAGGGAGCACGTACGCGATAAGTTTGTTATGATTGTGTGAACGTCGCCGGCTATCACATTGCACCTCAGTTGCACATTTCAGTGAGATCTCAGTGATTCCATGATATACTTGTTAATACATTCCATTTTTATTTAATATAAATTACGATGTTGCTTGTCAATTGTGCGCTTCTATTAAATTTGTTATTTGCATGGTCCGTCTTTGGCGGTCCCGAAGAAGAGCAAGGAGTAAAGTATGCTGATAAATGTGAAGGTAATTTTGGTCCTTTTCATACGTTATTTTATTTCAAAAGAAAATAACAGAAAAATAACAGAGAAACCCAGAATTTTACATTTTAATTTAGAAAACATATCTTGAAGTTTATCTAGTAAAAATAGAAATGTTCAAAAGTGTCAAGAGAATGAAAGAATAAAACTCAGTTTTATATTAATTAATTATATCAACTGAAATTAATAGTAGAATTTCGTTTTTTACACAGTGTGCAAAGTTGTAGCTAAAGAACTTGAGGCCAGATTAGACGAAACAGGGAAAACCCATGATGTATTGGAACTAGGATATTCTGTAGATGATATTGTACCAAAAAAGAAAAAGGATTATAAGAAGTCGTAAGTACCAAACTGAACTAAAATAATGTTTGCAATTGTTCCATGACTTACTCCTGTTTTTAGAGAACTACGACTATTAGAGAGCATGGAAAATGTTTGCGAGCGTATATTGGAGTATAATATACACAAAGAACGTACAGATAGTACAAGATTTGCGAAAGGAACAAGTCAGACGTTTAAAACACTCCATGAACTTGTGTAAGATATTTTGAAGCATAATAGCATTTGTAATATTCTGCATATTAATCATTGTATGGTTGCGCAGTGATAGGGGAGTGAAAGTAGATTTAGGTATTCCTTATGAACTTTGGGACAAACCTTCTGTAGAAATTACTACTCTCAAAACACAATGTGAAGATATGCTGGAGTCTTACGAAGCTGATATTGAAGAATGGTACCATACGCATCAGGGAAATATTCCTCTAACTCGGTAATATTTTATTTGAAATCGATATTGTCTGAGTATTATATTTACTAGATTTACGAGATCAACACTGAATAATGAATATCTGCTTGTTGTTTTTTATTCAGATATCTATGCTCTGAACGTGTATTGAAAGAGCAAAGTGATTCTTGCCTGTATGAGAAAAATGAGAACAAAGATACAAAGAAAGAAAAGAAAAAAACGAAAAAGGTATCAACTGATACAGAGAATGTAAAGGACGAACTACAGAATGTAAAGCAAGAGTTATAAAGTGACGAGAATGCCTCAAAGAACAAATTTATGTGGATACTTTCATTACTGGACTAGAAAAAATGTGATTCTTTATCACAGAATGAAATATATTATGCAATAGAACGAGAGAAGAGAGACACAATACTATATGTATATATATATATATATATATATATATATATATATATATATATATATATATATATATATATATATATATATATATATATATATATATATATATATATATATATATATATATATATATATATATATATATATATATATATATATATATATATATATATATATATATATATATATATATATATATACAAAATTAATCTGTAAATATTAGTATAGCATGGTTTATATTTAACTATATATGTGCCATGTATATTGTAATAGAAATGTTATAATAAATAAACTTCTTTTTATGTTTCTTAAGAGACCAGTATATGTATTATATGGTAAAGAGACAAAGCATCAATGTTATAGAATACATATTTAATATTAAATCGTGTTTGAATTTAGCCTATCATAAAGTCATTTCTTCAACGAAATATTTGAGTTTTTCCCAATAGCATATTTTCCTTCTAAGGCAGATGTTATTTGTAGTTGACTTTAATTTATTATTCACATGTGAAATACATACTTTATAACAAAATTGATGTTTGAATCTAAGACTGTTTTTCATCCTTGTTCCTGAATCTACGCGGTACCCACTTTGGCTTGCCTCGAAGAACTCTCAGACGTTCATACTCCTCCTTGAAATCCATATGTTCGTTCCTATAGAGGCCATAATTACGCAGATGAGTCATCATCCTTTCGGTCGCCCAGATTCTTGGATAATATCGCACGATCTCGGGTCGTTTGTTCACTGGTTTTTCGCTGAAGAGCTTTACCACCTTCATCGACTTCTGATTAGTGGGTGTGACCACTTCGCCGAAAATTCGATTACTCAGCCGATTCATACGCATAGCGTAATTGGTGCCCACCTTCGCCAAATCTATGTACTTGTTCATCTTTTAAATTGCTTCACTAAACAATGACAATAAGTATCCTTCTTCTGAAGTCTAAGAAAAGAGATAGTAAGGTTGGGTTTTAGGATCGATCCTATAATGAATGAAAATCGACAATCTTCAAAGAATTTTAATTTGCTAATTACTTACTTTTTTATTTCGTAAATTAACAGACTAATCACTCTATCGGGTTTTAAGCGAAGAACAACAAAAATATTCTCCTTTCTCTCATGCCGACAATCGCACAGCTGATCGTTAGATAAACAAGGACCTGACTCGTCGTAGAGTCGTACTACTTGAAGAGAATAACCGCGTCTGATTAGTCACTGAACTGTACTACGACCACGAGCAGCATTTCAGCGATAGATGGCGCCAGGCGAAACGTTAAGGAGTTCATTCATTAGGGTTGCATTCCAAAACGTCCTTTCAGAGGAAAATTTTACTCTTAAGTCTATAGTGTATGTAACATGAACTATAGATTTAAGAGTAAAATTTTCCTCGAAAAAGATGTTTTGGAATGCAACCTAGATATATATTTTTAAAGCGTCCAAAGAGCACATTTTCATCATTTTTACATGGTGAAATATAAACGGGGAGAAAAAGATGTTAAAAATATTAATTTCACGAAAATAGGTGAATTAATATTTAATTTTGGCTTTACTCCTAATTTCTTTTTAGCAAGAAAAGAATCGTATTAGAACCGCATTAATAAAAAATACTATCATATCTATACTAGACATTTATCTAAACTTTTTTGTCTTCTACGTTTTTATTAAAAGAGAATTTATTTCTAACTTGTAGAGGGAAGTTCTTTATTCGGAAGAAACGACCCAGTAAGCAAGGAACATTAAATTAACGTTTAGAAACGTTGACTTCACGTGCATTGTTTGAACATTTTTTAATAATATTGAATTTATATTTTTCACATGTAATTTTGTGATATGATTTTTCTAAATGTTGTTTAAACGTTTCAAAAACATTACAAAAAATATACATTTCAAATGTTACTTTAACATTTATTTGAGATCAATGCAACATCTTAAAAATATTTCTGACGGTTAAAATGTTATGGCAACCCTACTTCAACATTATTGAAACTTCCAAATCGCGATCAAAGTATGTTCATAATGATGTTCGATACAATATTAAACTCTACATATTTGACAATATTACAGGTTCTCGAATATCGTTGTAGTAATGTTGTATTAATAATTTATTGCTTACTGGAAACGCAGGAAATGCTACTTTTCCGTTAAAGGGAAATCAGGCAATAATAAATCACATATGGAAGCAGAACGGTTTTCTGCCTAAACGTTTGTTCAATACAATAATTGCATTTCAGTCTAACATACATACTATAGAAGTCGGTCATTGGAGATATGCATTCTCCCGTGATGGATTGAGTTCAACGGCGTGCTCGTTAACGGGACGCAAGTAAGCGCACTGACGATTGAAAATATCGGCGTGGAAATCACCGCTAAATTAGATTATTCAGATTTCCCGAGGCTTCCGTAAGCGAATCGTGAAACCCGCTAACAGACAGCTTGCCGCAGAATTCTTCCGTTCTCCGGCAAGGTGAGTTCCACACTTGAACGTCCTGCGACACATAACTTCCCATAACTTCCAGCTGGTCGAATAATTGCGATTGCAAGCCAAACTGAGGTAATGTCGAAATAATTACTCTACACACTACACAACGATTTTTATGCGCAAACAATTCCCAGGTAACATATACACGTATCAGAAATGTTTCTTAAATGTATCTATAGTTTTTTTCAGAACCGTAAAGTACCAATAAGAAACGTTTATAAAACGTTTATAAAACGTCTTAAAACGCTTATAAAACGTTTTTTCAACGATTTTTTTTTTTTTTTGCAAAATTAACGTTTCACCTAACGTTTTTTGTTTCGAATCGTTGTGAGATATACTCGCGTGTGTCTTGAATATGTTTAAGATTGAACAAAAATTTAGGGAGGTCTACAGAAGAACGCCACTCCCTGTGTCGTTTCCTTTGAACTATCCAGGTAGACAGAAATGCCGAACGTAGCATGCTAACATTTAATGTGTACTTTATGACGCTGTTGCAATGGCACAACGTGTTTCAAATATGCTCGTTTGAAGAAATACTCCTTTATTACGCCCCCCATAATTTTAATCGAAACATTTACGTCTTATTGCCGCAATAGTTCCGGATTAATGGCGTTCTTTTTCCGGCAAAATAAGCAGCAATTTTCACGACATCAAAGTATTGCTGCAATACACTGCCGTGATTTTCATAGTGTCTCTCAAATGATCTCTTTTATTACTGACGAAACTTTTACCGTATGAGGACGCATCTTTACGTACTTGTGCCACTTAGGGGCGATTTTTCAATAGCAATTTAAACTTGGATTCAAATTTAAACTTTATTCTAACAATGTTTGTTTGTTTCGTTTAAACAGAGTTTAAGTTAAAATCTAAGTTTAAACTATCATTAAAAAATCGGCTCTTAGATAATGTCTGTCTGGATAATGACCTCCCTACAAGTTAGAAATGGTTTTCTCTTAATAGAAATGTAGAGGACGCAACGTGCTTAGAAAAAAAGAGGCCATGTCGATAGATTGAATTCGACGTTCTTATGTCCACGGACAGGTATATTGGTTTGAGCTTCGTCGACGGTGGAAAGACTTTCAGTTGCCATTATAATGTTAGATCGCACGTCTGTTGTGTGCGCACCACTAACGATAAGCGTAACCGGATTAGCGCGAACAAGAGTCGATTGCGGATTTTATGCACTCGCGCAAGAATGTGTGCGCGAGCGTTGTAGACATACTTCTCGGTGGGCGTCGAGGTGCGAAACTTCATTTCGTCTCGTGTGCTTTACTCGTATCGACCACCCACCGGATCACATGTTACAATGACACTTGAACTTTCCAGTTGGGAATGCGACTACATTACAGGTATGATCTGGTGCGTTTCAGTTAAACGCCCGCCTTTTCATTCGCGTTTTCGCGGAAGTCGAGCCGCGGTATACACGTCGAGTGACTGTAAAGTCTGGTACAGCACAGCGAAACAAGCAGAACCTTCTCGCTCATGTTCACAGTAAAATTCTTCGGAAAATTGAACCATTGAATAATTAGTGGGACTTTCGCTTACGTCGTCGGTAGCCTTTTCGAATTTCTCGATTGCAATGGACTCTAGAAAAGAGTAGCCCACCCTTATAGAAATATCATACTAAGAATCATTGATAATTACTTATTATCCAGTATTTTTAATACTGAAAATAAGTAATTATCAATGATTCTTAGTATGATATTTCTATAAGGGTACTTTAAAAATAAAAAACACTTGTCTCCTGAAACAACTGAAAGTCGATTTTTTGCAATACCAGTTTAAACTTCGATCCAAATTTAAACTTTATCTTAATAATGTGTTTCATTTGGTTTAAGCAAAATTGAACTTATATATAAATTTAAGTTTAAACGGTTATTGAAATGCCGACTCTGAACGTCGCTGTTGAATTTCGTTTGGAATTCACACAAATGGTTCGCGTGATATTTCAATTGCAATATCCTGTGTATCACTTCGCTAAATTAACGAGATTATTAATTTATATGTAATAATGATACATATAAGTTAGGGAATTCCGGTTGTTGCGATAAAATTTACTCTTCATTAGGGTTTCCTAAATTGATAAGTGACGTTGTATTTCCTGTGCTAAATCATCGGTATCATATGGAGAAATATATTTCAGTTCGTATATCTATGTGTGTGTGAAAAGAAGATCAGACGAAAAATTCGCTAACGAGTAATAATGTTTCTTTTACTGTCACCTAAGAAAATATTCTTCTGCACTGAGAGAAGACCGTTTGATATTTATAACTATAATCACACAGAGAATTAATTGTTAGAAATTATGGCCAAGAATAGCACTTTTTTATTAAACTCTTATTAAAGGTAATAACCTCTTATGTATTAGAGATAATAACCTTATATGTATATTACCACTATCATTTTCCAAAAATAACTATAACTATTTAGTTAGATCAATCAATTTGTAATTGTGTGAACATCCAGCTACATTAAAACTTGGTTAAGATAATTGAAATCAATTGATTGAATAGAAATCTCTTACGACAATTTTTCTATTCTTATAACCGAGTTTTTCGTCTGGGGGCCCTTAGGATATTTCGATTTGTTAATTACAGAAGATACTAAGCGTTTTGCGAAATTTTGAAGAAAATGATCAACGTTATCTTGTCTAGTTATGCTCTCTATTTTATTCATGTGTGTGTGTGTGTGTTCTTATTGAAGGTAGTGATGCTTACGAAACATCCTGTCAGGAAGATAAAACGTATTTCCTCGCTGTGCTCGATAAAAATTTATCTTTTCATATTATAATTATTGTATTGTATATAAGCGCATGGTACTTACATTCGCGGCATTCGTTCTTGAGAATACGTAGCGCAATAACATTATAATCATGTTGCAATATCTGTTGACATTTCTCTGCGTTGCGTCGTACTGTGTAGCAACGGATACAAACTTTTTGCAAGGTAAATAAGAACTTTTTGTGTGAAATTTGATGAAAGTGAATTTTGGGAGAACATGATTGCAATATCTGTTTCGATAATTCGATAGAATTAACTTCCATGAACATATTTATCGCATTTATATTACCGTTATTTTAAATAAGTTTGGAAAGAAAGGGTGATTGAGGAACTTGACAATAGATCATACTTAGCACACTCTCGCGACCAGAGAGGAAATTTTCCTCATAGATCATCCTGTATTTTTTTCATGTAATTGTATAGAAGACAGATTTAATTCGTTTATATGTGTAACACATATATAATATAGCGGACGTGTTAATATGAATAAAACTCTTTGACCTGCGTTAATATGGTAGAAGACTTCAGAAAAATGTGAATTTAATTTCGTTTACTTTTCTTATTGCGGTTAATCGTTTCATGAAATTAATAATCGAGAAGTTTAGAGTGGAAATTCATCGTGTACATAATTTACGGAAATCTTTTCTAAAGAGTGTCTAAAATAAAAAGTGAATCGCCTGATCGGTGCATTTTTATATTGAGCTATTGAATTATATTCTATCGTATTTTTCAAAAATTATATATATACACACACACACACGGGCCATTTTACGGGACCCACCCAAATTTCTCCATAGGTAAGCCAGATATAGAAAAATAGTTACGACAATACTTGTTCAGGACAATGGGGGTCATCTTTCTCAATAAATGAATTTGACTTTGAGATCAAATTTCAAGGTCATTTGGAGGTCATAGTGATTTTTTTAAATGGGACTGCCTACTTTTGACACTGGATTCGTAGAGAGCGGGAAATTTTACGTCAGAAACGATATTTTTAAATTTTTTATTTTGACCTTCAGAAGGTCAAATCAAGGTTTTAAAAGCGCTCAGAAGCTGTTTGTTTAAATGCGATTATCTTACTTTTAGCATTACCCAGAAACAACGACGTGGACGTAGTAAATTCTGTTTCCTTTGGGGTGCTTGATTATCGTGAGTCCCCTTGCCTCTCACGTTTGGGATGCTTGTTTACCGTGAGTCCCCTTGCCTCTCACGTTTGGGGTGCTTGTTTACTATGAGTCCCCTTGCCTCTCACTATTTAACAATTACATAATTAACCACGAAGTAAATGTTCGAAGTTGCCTTCATCGGCTTCAAGGCACAATTTTAAAATCCCGTAAAATGGCCCACCGTGTATATATATTTATCTTTATATTCATATTCACATATTTATTTTATTTTATTCGCATTTAAATTTCTTGTATTATTTGAAAAGATTGACTGCATCCTGGACAGATAATACGTTTTGATTTTTAAAATATTCTATCCTAATTTGTGCTGTCATCTGATTCTTTTAATTTTTCTAATAAATTTTTCTAGAAAGATTTAATTTAATTAAAACCAATGTTGTACAGAAAGAGAAAATGTATACATCACGCAATATAAATAAGTAACAATATAAAAAAGTATTATACTTTTTCTCATTGCATAAATGAATTTAAGTGTCACACATATGAATTATGTAACAAAAAATTCCAAGCTGAGAGATACTGGAAACAATAAAATATAAAAATATAATATATATTAAATAATATATATATTAAATAATATATATATTAAATAATATATATATTAAATAATATATATATATTAAATAATATATATATAAAAATATAATATATACTAAATTTTTATATATTAAATATAAATAAAAATCTTGAATTGTTGCAAAAAATGTCGTATCAAGCTGAGACAATGTAATATTCGTTGGAGAAATAATGAAACTTGTCTATATAACTATCGAATTAGGAATACTCGGTATTAGGTATCACTTTTCCATATTGGAATGGTTTAAAAAAGTTTCAGTTTTATTAAAAAAGCTTTTTAAAAAAGTTTTATTAAAATAAGCAATAGAAAATGTTTCGTACATATATGCAAATAATTTGCTTGAAAGTTAAGCAAACCTTGGCAAGTGATAACACTAATTAGTGAAATTAACTAATGTATCGGAGACGTACACAGGATATTTTCTATTAATGACATGTATATAACGTACCTTCCCCTTGCGACTACGTTTTTTTTATTTTCCGCTAGGCTTTGGTGCCAGTGTACGCAACCAATCTTTTGTAACTGCAGGCCAATCAACATGCAATGATGAAAATCTGAGCGCGACACAGAAATTCCTGTGCATGTATAGCAACGGTTTTAATCCGGCACTGCAAAATATTTACATCACCGGACCGCCACAGTGGAGAATGCATAAACTTACTCAACTCTTAGATAAAGCAGGAAGCGATTATCTCCTTACACCCGGCATGGGTGCTCATAAATTTCACCATCGCAAACTGTCGTGGAGCCAGGCTCGTAAAATTTGTATTAAGGAAGGGGGTGAGTTCATATATATATATTTTTTTTACAACGAAGACTCGACGAATGTCATGCCTGCAGCGCAAGTCTTTATAGCGACGACAATCCGATTTCATATTCTATCAATCAAATTCATCTTATTAACAAACTTATGTGGGATATTTAATGAGAAATGCACAATGGTTGAAGTTAATCCACACGAAGAAAATATCACAATAGAGATGATAACAAATTTTTGTAGTCTCTCTTGGACCATACAGAATTATGATTGAAATTATGACATATTTGTTTAAAAATGTTTCCACTACAAAATTGTATTATAATTGCTTGAATGTTTCTTTATATCATGTATTTGGTTTAAATTTTGTTTTATACGGTGATTTCCATTAAAACGTAAGTATAACGCAGTTTTAAAAAAGACGCTGTAAAATGAAATATAATTTGGACGTAATTTTTACTGCAATATTTCCCCCGTGCGCAGTTTGATAGGTGTTCAGCTTCTTCGAAAATTATCGTCGGTCGGGCACGGATTGAGAGTTAAGATATAATAATAAACCAATAAATAAATAAATAATAAAAAATGAATGAATAAAAATCCACACGATTTCACCGGATTTCGGCGGATTAATGAGATAAATGCGTCTGTCGACGTAGGTCACTTGGTTATTATAAATTCAAACTCGGAGGAGAAGCTACTGCTACGTATTATGGAGGAGCGCAAGATCGAGAAAGCGTGGCTCGGTGTACACGATCAATTCGAGGAAGGTGACTGGACTACGATTCTAGATGAACCCATGGAAACATCGGGTTACTCAAAATGGACCACGAAGATCGCTAACCTGCCCGACAACTGGGGCGGGAAGCAGCATTGCGGACTTCTTCTGAAGGACGGCGGCATGGACGATTTCGATTGCTCCACACCGCACCCCTTCTTCTGTGAGATCAATTTCTAAATCGGCCGTGAATCGATTGCGAGCGCGTGAGATCGTAATCGGACGCCGCGCAAAGACACGCGATCAGCTAAAGCATTACGCTTTAACGACGATACAGGACTAGGGCTATTAAGATTGGATTAACCGCGCCAGGTAACACAGCAAGTATGCGAATATACTGTAAATGCAGGAATATTTGCAAGTATGTGTCATGATTAATAAGGTAAATGGATCAATGTCGCACGTGCGCACGACGACGGAGAGATTAGATCATAAGTTTTATTTTTATATTAATGATACTGCGGATCACGCTTGTGAGTTGTGTTGAGAAATAACGCATGCGAAGTACCCTTATCGTCGAGCATACGAAATGAGAACGAACGTAATCGCGAGATGTAAGAACGTCAATTCTTCAGAATCGTCATGGCCTCACCGGTTGATGCAGAAGGAGAATGAAATAAAATAAAAGTTATTATCACGATATGAAAAATGTCAGATGAGTAAACGGAAAATAATAAGTTCCACCACCACGAGATTTATCGTCCTCTATTTCTCTTTCAGATTTATTATTTCGTTCAACATTAACGGATAACATTAACGAACAATAAAAAAATATTTATTTGATAGGTACTAATAACATATTTGTTTAGATCCAAATACTTTTATTTAATTAGAATAAACATTTGCTTTCACGAAAAAATAAATTTTAAGAAAATATATATTTTCTTATTTTGAAAGATATTTTATATTAGTATAATAGTAAATATGTTATTAGAGTCTCCACCGAATAAATATTCTTTATTTTTTCAGTGTTTTTTCGGTCACAGTATTTACTAAACTACTATCACCATTACAATTTCGCAGTTTGCATTATTTTGCTATTTTGGTTACAATTTCGTAGTTTGCATTATTTTGCAATTGTGGTCGCATAGAATGGCAAATGCTTTTGCAGAGTAAAAACTCCATGTTGCCACAAAACAAAAAAATATAAAAAAGATTTTATAATCAAAAAATATTTTTGTTTATGACGTAACATGAAGCACTTTTCAATGCATTGGCATCTATACTTGGATGTTGTTACAATTTTATGAAACAATATATGCGAAGAATCGCAAAAGATTATAGGTCAAAACGGTGCATAAATTGTTTCATAAAATTGGAACGACATGAAAGTACAATTGTATTTATTTTATCCGAATAATTCGAGATTACTTATTACACAACTCAATATTGATACTCTCAAAAAATAATTTGCAATTCTACGGGGTCAAGCAAAAACAGTTCAAACTACAAAACTGCATTATATCAGTATCCAGCGTCGCGTTAACGAAAGACATTACTTTACAATCGACAACTTATTCATACGACAATTTTCATTAACACGCCGACAAAGAAAGAAAAGCTCAAGAAACGTTCGGAGCGCGTATCGACACCGTCGACAATTTTTCGTCCCTCATCATTCGCACACGATCGTTTGGCGCGCCCTTAGCCAAGCCAAAGAAAGAGGGACAAAAGCGTCGCGGACCTACATGCATACGTAAATCTGATTACATACGCCTCGCGTCATCAGCGCGTCATCGGCGGCGCGGCGTTCCCATTTGGACGCGCTCGTTCGCCGAACTCGACTCCGACTCGGATCGGTTTGCACTCATCGCTCATGTTTCGCGATGCGTCGTCATCATTATCTCTCCCGCGAGGTCACCCACCGATCCTCTCGAATGCGTGCCCAGGCCTCCTCTTTCTGCATCCCGACAAGAGAAAGAGAGAGAGAGAGAGAAAGAAAGAGAACCGCGTTCGCGTTACAGGGAGCACCCGATAGCACCGCTCTTCGCCCTATTGATTTTCCCGCAGAGGCGCACGCGCTATTCCGTTCCCGATTGCAACCAGGGGGTGCGGCTGTAACCATGGATCCCAGTGTACTCGCCACCATGGACAAGGACGCATTGAAGAAGCAGATCGAGAACATGAAGTACCAGGCGTCCATGGAACGGTGGCCTCTTTCCAAGAGCATCGCGGCGTAAGTGCATTTTCGCGCTCGGCCGAATCATTGTCGCTCGCGCACACCTGCTTTACTCAAAACTCTTTCCCCGTTGTCTCGTTGTTCGTTCCCGTCTGTCCGCGAATCTCTTCGGATGCTCGACGAGAGAGACCTTCGCGACGCGGGTGTCCCGAGAGTCCCGCGAGTTCCGCCCGGCCGAATTTCACATCGCGTCGCTTCAACGGTGTCTTCGAGCTCGACAATTAGTCAACAGCGCAAGGGTAGGGGACTGCTTGTGGATATTTGAATTTTTAGATATACTTGGCTGTCGCTAGTATACTCTAATTAATGTTATCTGACCGGCATTCATCGTGATCCCGTCGACACTAATGCCTTGAAACTTCGAAATATCATTTGCATTTTGAGAGGTAGTGTGTGGCTTGTTTCGGACGCCTTGTAAAGATTGATGCGGTGTTCCGTTTCTTCCAACACGTTCAACACGTTAGAAAGTTCAAGGAGCCCGTTCCGCTTTTTTCCGTGCCTTGTTCGATAGAACGAGGGAAAGGTGCGGTCCTTCTTTTCGCGTTGATCGTCACTCTCGTCTCCGGACAGGTGTGATTAAGCAGACTAAGGGAAAAAAAAGAAATGCAATTCAGCTGTGCGACAAAGTTACTTCGAACCGGACTGATCGTCATGGACGTGTCAGCATCATCGAGAGGCGAGCGTTAATTATATATTTAGATTGCCCTGAATTCGCCTGATCAATTTTTGCCGGTTACTTTCCTCTCCGTTCAGTTGACTCAACAGAATCGGCAAAGATATTGGCATCACTCGGTCTCCGACCTCGTCGCGATGAATCGCGACCCATCATGATCTTCCGGTGACTAAGCTTTATTTTTTAATCCATCTCGAGCGAGCTAGCTCTCGTCGAGCAGAAAACGTCGCAGGGATTGCGATCTCGAGACAGTGCGTTCAGTTTTTACGGCATGGGCGCACCACTCGTGTTACAAGCTTCTTTGAAATCGTGCTCTCACCGCGTGTAAGGCGGGCGTTACGTGAGAGTCATTTGACAGCGACTAGTAATTCCTAGTCCTCTATAATCGACTTAATTTTCATCGGTGCGTAATCGCAGAACGCCTCGCCAAGTGAATTGGTTCGCGCATAAAATCACGTAATGCCGCAGCCGACGCGCAGGTTGCCGTCGTTCAAGGTTCAATTATACCTGCTCCGAGGAATCGCGTTCGGTCAGACAGGAGATTCAGAAAAATTCGGAAACCAGTATTAGCTATATTTCATTATCGCTCTTTGCGCGCACAACGGGAGCGAGTTTTCTTTATCGTCTAGAAAGTGCGACGAAATCGCGTGTTTCATGTCCGACATTTTTCATTTTTATTCCCAAGATATTTTCTTCCCAGATGTAACAAAAAGTAACAAGCTGCAGAAAACGCATCCCTAAACACTCGATTTATATCGTATAATTGATAAGGAAACATTTTCTCGAAAATACACTGAGAGAAATTATGCCATAAAAATTAACAAACTGATATTTCCGATTAAAATACCGATAAATTTTGTATCCGATCAGGAAACATTCGATGGGAAATATTAGTTCATAATTTTTTTATCGGTTTATCTGATGAAATGTCATTATGATCGGAAGTATCCAATAAAATTTAATCGGATGTAAAAATTGATCGGAATTTGATTGGAAATGTCCGATTGTTAATTTTTTATCGAATAATTTCTTTCAGTGTAATACAGTGTCGATAACGTTCACACGATACCTCGAGACAGTCCAGTCGACTCAATTCTTCGGAGAAACGAAGCGAATGCACAATTTTCTGATCAATCTCATATAATAGTCATTCGCCAGCAGCGATTAATGCGATATAGTCTAATCGGAATGTAAATTTTCCTCTCTGCATCATAGCTATTTCTACTCTCTGGGAAGGGACTTCGATTGGCTCACAACAATTATGTTGGCGCATAAGATTTGTCGTGTTTTCGTCAAATAAATAGAAAACAAAATTATGCACTTTTAATCAGTCGGTTTTACGATAATAAAATGAACATCATTGATTCGTTAATTTTACAGGCATCTAATGAGAATTTCCAAATTTCCTTCTGTAACCAAACTTCTTAATTTAACAGAGAAAAAGACGTCTGGTTCTTTCAGACACCTCTTATACGTCTTTAGGATATCTTCTAATAATTTATATTGTCTAAGAATTATGCGCCGTTTTAGTTTATGATCGGCCATCGTTTATTACGTTATTTCACAAAATAACAATAACATAAAAATATAATCGTTTTTTACCTAAATTTTACCTAAAAAATTTTGGATTATTTATTAAATAATTCGGTATTAGGTTGGTGCTAAAGAGTTATTTTTAAAGACGTTTAAAAGACGTCTGAAAGAGCCAGACGTCTTTTGAACGTCCTTAAGACATCATTTAGTGGATTGTACTGTCTATTTCACGAAGTTTTAACGACATGAAAATACAAAAAAAAATAAATCTATAACCTTGCCACATCCTCGTTAGATCCGGGTAGCGCAAAGAGCAAAAGTACATAGCAGAAAGATAATATTGTTAAAAAAAAGAAAACAAAGAAGTGTCATCAGTGACCCTCGAGTACCGAGTTTCGCGTAAATTGATTAAAAAGAAAGATGTATGCTTCAAAAATAAAAAGAAAGGAAATATACTTCTCACACCATGGCGGAAAGGGTTAACCGTTAATTGGAATATTTAAAGTGTGTGAAGAAGACGGCCGGAGGCTTATTGGGCACCTGTCTACACTCATTTCCCGAACTCTTTCTTCTTCTTAATTTTTAGCTCGCTTTCGAGCGTAGTGACCTCTCTTCATATGCCTGTGGTGCGCACGCTAATTGTACAGGCATATGGGACCTACAGTTTAACGCCCATTCCGAACGGCAAATGATTTGAACTAGCGGGTATGATTCTGAAAGGTTTTTCTCGGCTCTCGGAGGGTTGCCGCTTCTTCTTCCGAGAGGAGCACGAACGTGCGAAAATTTTGGGTTTCAAAAATGTCGGGATTCAAACCTGAGGTAACTATGGTATACCATAGTATGGTATACTAGTGCGCTGTCTGCTATGCTACGCTCGTACTCCCTGTATTCTGAGTCAAAATTTTACTTTCAGTCTTACCATTCTATTCAATACTTATTTTGATACTCTAAAACCTACTTTGATACTCTCAACCTCTTTTGATTCTATTTAACCTACCAGAAATTTTGATCTTACTTTCAGCCTCACCATTCCATTCAACGCCTATTTTGATTCTAAAGAAAATGAAAAGGGAAATTTCAGACATTATCAGAATCAAAGTAGGAGTAAATTGTATTACTAGAATTAAACCTACTTTGCCGAGATTACTTATTACATCATACTGTCGATACGCTGTTCGCGCGTCCGACTCGACTTTACGACCGGTTTCGCGCTATTCCCCGCGGAACAGGAACTCAACCGAACCGCAAGGGAGACCGCGAGCACGTTCTCCCCGTGGGACAGGTGATCCAGCCACGGTGATCCAGCCACGTTTCCGACGTCGGGAAACGAAACGCAGAAACGTCGCCTGTTCCCAGACAAATCGTCTCGCGCCCATAAAGGCAAGGCAATCGCGCCGGCACAGTCAAGGCTGCATTACAGCTCGCGTCCCCGCGTTTACATGGAGAGACAGGGTCTCCTTGGACGCTTGGTGTCCGTTAATCGCGTTTTCGCGGCACGATCACTTTCAGCGGAGATTATTACGCGGCGCGCGGAGCTCACGCTCGGAACACATGCGTGCATTGTAGTCGCGCGAGGACACGAGGACTCGAGGGCGCGATACCACGGCGTGTCCTGATCACGGCGGTGACTCAACGGCGATGATCGATGATCTATCTAATTGGGCCGCGGCCGGTGGTCTCGATCTGCGAAAGATCGTCTCTGCTAATAACGTAACTCGGTTTCGTCACGCGAACGAACGAAGGGAACAACGAACGAACGAACGACAGACGGATAGCGCAAAAACAGCGCGAGGATTATCCACCTTCTCGTTGCAGCCTGACGGACGGCGCGCCGCTAATTATACCCCTCGCGCGTCGCGTTCCGGCTAATGATCGAGCGGCGAACTTCTTGCGCGATTAACCGCGCGCGGCCTCGCGAAACTCGAAATCGGCCGGCCGGCAGGCCGTCGTTCGACAACGGCGCGACGTTAACAACCGTTTCTCGAGCGCGAACGATATAGCCTATCTCTTGAGATAACTCGTCGATATCTCTTGTAATACTCACGGGATTGTTCGGAGAGATTGTTCGCGATCGGCTCGTAGCCAGAACGGATTGAATTTGATGCGATGGAAGTTTTGCTTTGCATACTGGGTGTCGTGAGCGACGTTTGTTTCCTCCAAGCGTTGAATTGTTTTTATTTTTTATTGATTCTCATTGATCTCTTGCATTTACTTGGTATTTTTTCGGCGGACTCATACACGGAGAAAATATTGTAGTGAAGAATACATGAAAATTATGTTTATGTTTCTTATTACAGTTCTCGTAAAGAATGACCAAATCGTAAACATGGAAGAAACATCAATGTAGATTCTTTGACTATAGAAATATTTTATCAAGATTTACTTACTTATGTGATACTATAAAGTCTGTGTGTCCCTTAATTTTTATTATTAACTTAATTAATTATTTCCACGATGCTTTTTATAAAGCTGAATTATACCAAGATTGCAGTATGAAGAACTATAAAAATAGTAAGTTTAACGATTTATATATCAAATATATGATATAAAAAATATCCAAGTTATTATAATAATTTGCTGTAAGAAAAATGTGTAATTTTAAATATATATATATATATAATAATTTCAGCCATAATTCTGTATAGGTCAAAATTATAAAATTGTTTTTTTATTTTTAGGCGTAAAATTTTCTCCGTAGAAAAAGAGAGAGAAAGCACGCATCTATTAAACATACAGTAGACTTACTATTTTTCTACCAAATTCTTGTAAGAAGTTTGATTATTGAAAAGAA